CAAGATGGCCCCCAGACAGCCCAAAAGACCTCCAAGTCGCCCAAAGAGGTCTCCAAGAGGCCTCCCAGGAGGGCGCCAAGAGGCTAAAAATATTGTTAGTCCTTCGTTTTGTGTTCGCCTCTTCGGCTTCCCGACGCTCCCAGACGGCCCTAGAGGCCCCCAAGACCGCCTCAAGACTGTCCAAAAGGCCTTTAAGAGGGCCCCAGAACTCGCCGAGAGGGCCCCAAGACAGCCCAAGAGAATCCCCAAACGGCCCTAGATGGCCCCAAGACGGTCCCAAAAGGAGCCCAAAAGAGGGAACACGAACCGAGAATCCTAGCCTTCCGCCGCAAGAGGCTCCCAGGAGGCCCCACCAGGCGCCCAGGAGGTCCCAAAAGGCCCCCAAGAGGTCCCCAAGAGACCCCAAGATGCTCCCAACAGGCCCCCAAAAGGCCCCAAGGGGCACCCAAACGGGCCCCAAGAGGCTTCCAAACAGCCTCCAAGAGGCCCCAGAGTGGGAGATCCCTACGAACATCCCATGGGCTTCATACCCTCAACCCAGGCACGGTGGCGGGATGGGCCGAAGGCGATTTGATATACTGATGCGTACACGTGCAATTCATGATGCGTGCTATGGACATTTATGCTCAAACCGTTTAGGCGCCTTGAGCCCTGATTAGACAAAGGAGGCTTTCCCATGCGTTTCCTCCCGAGCGGCAATAGCGAGGACACGGCGACGACGGTCACATCAACAAGATACTCTCGGACCTCAGGGACCCCTCCGGTTTCCAGTGGAGGTTCTAGGAGTATCGAGGTTGATAGCGAATCAGTGAGGTTGGCCCTTCTTCTCCATTCATACTAAGGGATACCAGAAAGCAACCCCAATCAGAGTCTTTTTAGAGCTATAGGGCTATGGGGCTATTGGGTTATCGGGCGATGGGGCTATGGTGCTATGGGGCTATGGAACTATAGGGCTATAGTGCCATAGGTATGTAGGCCATAGGGCTATATGGCCATACGGTTATAGTGTTGTAGGGCAGTGGGGCTATGGCTCTGGGGCTCTGGGGCTATAGGGCTATGGGGCCATAAGGCTATAGGGCTACAGGGATATAGGGATATGGGGCTATAAGGCTATAGGGCTATAGGCAGATAGAGCTTGTAGGGCTATAGGGCTATAGGGCTATGGGGTTATAAGGCTACGAGGCTATAGGGCTATAGGGGTATAGGGATGTAGGGCTATAGGGCTATAGGGCTACAAGGGTATAGGGCTATAGAGCTATAGGGCTATGGGGCTATAGGGCTACTGGGCAATAGGGCAATCGGGCAATAGGGTTATAGGGCTGTAGAGCTATAAGGCAACACAGCTATAGGGCTCGAGGGCGATAGGCTCTAGGACTATAGTGCTATAAGGATATAGGGCCATTGGGCCATGGGGCTATCATTAGGGCTATTAGGCTATGGGGCTATAAGGCTACAGGGCTACAAGGCTATAGGGCTACAAGGCTACAAAACACCCGGGCACCCGGGCACCTGGGCACTTGGGCACCCGGGCGGGCCGCGGAAATCGGTGACACACCTCACCTAACCATATGAATCCGCTTGGACCCGTACAGAGGCAAGCTCTGATTGGGGGACATAGGGCTGGCCACCCCCACGGACAACTACGAGATGGACTACGCACCGGGCGTGGACCCAAAGGACGCAGCTCTGACGGGAGAGAAGATCAAGGTATTTGCTAGGAGCAAGAGAGCGGTGGAGGCCAACATATTGTCATGCCATGACCAGAAGGAGTTTAAGGCTTCGCTTGGCTCCAGACTCTACAAGAACCTACTGGCCCTGAACAACAGCATATCGGTTATGATCGCGCAGCGCGGTCCAGCGGACTTCGCCGAAGAGGACGGCGCTACGAAGCCCAGGTATTTGCCAGGTACAAGAGAGCGGTGGAGGCCAACACATTGTCATGCCATGACCAGAGGGGGTATGAGGCTTCGCTGGGCTTCAGACTCTACAAGAACCTACTGGCCCTGAACAACAGCATATCGGTTATGATCGCGCAGCGCGGTCCAGCGGACTTCGCCGAAGAGGACGGCGCTACGAAGCTCATGAGTTTCTTCGAGCAATCGAGGTTAAGCGGGGCGGTTTTCAGAAAGCTTCCAAGAGCGTACGACGCATTCTATTGGGAGACGCAATTCGGGAAGCGCGGACCAGAACCCATGGCAGCTTCTGCACAGCGATGGAAGTGGCCGGGGCAAACCAAGATAATATCGACAGAGAAACTACAATAAGTGATACGTAACGAGTTGGGTTACTGGACGCTCGAGAGGTCGGGCCTAGACGAGGACGAGAAGCAGACGGTCTCGGCCAGGGCGGACGAGACATTCCAAATGGGGAAGATCAGCATGACTCTGAAGAACATGTTCCCAAGGGGCCCCAGGCATCAATGTAAGGACACTCGGCCGCGAGAGCCGCCGAGGCGATGGACGTACCACGAGGACTTCAATGACGGCCAAGTACGAGAAGAATACCAGTGGCGACCACGACGAGGACGCGTACTGGACCCAGGACAGCGACGGCTACTGGTACGAGTGGAATGACGACCACAGCGCGTACACCAGCCATAACTATGCAACGATGACGCAAGACGACTACGACTACGCGGGTGAAGAGGCCTTCACTATCGAGGACGACACCGACCAGTGGATAGCCGATCAGGACCCCGAGTACAAACAGGTGCTAGTGACGCTAAGCGAGTCACGGGAGAAGATGAACAAGATGCGGGCGGCACGGGGATTCTTCAAGTGCAAGATCGACGGAATCCTGGACGAGAGTACGGCAGCAGAGAGCAAGCCGAATGGCAAGTTCGGTTGCAGAGGCAAGTCCTAGGGCACAAAGAACAAGAAGTGCAGCGGGTGCAACCGTTTCGGTCGCAATCGTCCCGACTGTGGCAACGAAGGCAAATCAACGTTCAGCAAGCAGCGACCAAAAGAAAGGGGCAAATCGTCAGGACGAAGCAAAGGTGCCCCAGGGAAGAACCGTCTTGGCATGTGGGTAATCAGAACGGTCGTTGGAATCAGCGGCTGGTGGCAGACAGAAACCAACAACACGGTCACCACGCAGCGCACGGGTCCTCGGACACCGATTTCGAGGCCCTGTCAGACAGCAAATCCTGTGGCAGGTCGCCAAGGCCGCCCAGGTTCAGCGTCGCCGCGTACTGGATTCGTGAGCGAGCGAATCCGAGGTCCCATGCTCACTTATGGACTCGGGAGCTGGAACAGGCGTGGCAGGCCTGGAATAGCAGCAGAGCTCTAACGATGCGGCCTGCTTTCACTGGTGATCGAGGCCGATCAGAAGTTCAACGGCTTGGGAGACGCCAAGCGACATGCCAATGAGCAGTGGCTCGTCCCGATCGGCATCGGCAAGAAACATCGGATTCAAAGGTACTACGCGATCCCTGGTCGGTAAGATGACCGGACTCACCGGATGTGATGATATGGACGACTGGAAGACGAAATTCTACATGCGTCGAGAAGGCCATTGGGCAGACTTCGAGGAGCTGGGCGTATACCACAAGGATCTGATCACAACACCCCGTGGACACGCGGGCCTCGACATATTCGACTACGACTACGAGGAGTACGTCGACGATCCGATCTTCCACAAGTTCAGGATCAACAAGCTGGCCTCGACCAAGGAGGTGGTAATGTTGAACGTCATTTACCAGCGAGCCCGAGAATGAGGAGCCGATCGAGACGATCGAACGTGACAACTGGGTATCAGAGGCAGTGCGCGAAGGACGACGTTGCATCTTCAAGAGGCCGACGCTCAAGCACATCGAGAAGCTGGTGAAGAAACATCTTCACGTGGGAGCTGTACGCCAACACCGCTATGCAGAAGGTCATCGCAATGCAGCGCCCTCGGACCTCAGCACTGGCGTCAACTTCAATGGTCCCAAGGTGCGCGTCGACTGGCTATTGATGATCGAATACTACAAGACAGAGCTGGTCACGTAATCTTTCCCATGCAATCCTTACTCGAACATGCAGGAGCTCAACCAGGCAGAGCGACCATCGCGCCAGGCTGATGAACTACTGATCGAAGCTAAGCCGCATCTGACGTTCACGAGACGTGTGCTGGAAGCTCAGACAGCGGGAGGACGACAAGAACTAGCAGAGAACCCATTGACCAGCAGGGCATGGAGTGATGACGACAGTCGGACACTACACTGCGGGACGACGCCAAATACGAATCGATTCGGCTGGAATGGTGCATGTACGGACTCATCGACTACGAGGGCGAGCTCATCAATAAGCCTACGGTGTTGGCTGTTCCAGGTGGTGGCTCTCAATGAAGTGCGATAGATCCCACCGACATGCGGACACCGATGGTCGAGGGATACCTGAAAGCGGCTGGAGCGTGGCCAGAGTCACTCGCACGTATCGTGGTCAGCGCGGCCACGCACGAGCTCGCCAACAGGACGAATGCCATCAAGTGCGGGCTGGGAAAGGCGACTGGCAACAGCAAGGCCACATCTGTGATGCAGCGCAAGGTGGCCAGGGATTTCTACCTGCACAGCGACCTCATTGACACACACATATATCGTTAAGGGCGATGGCTTGGTCAAACACAACGCAAGCGCCACGAGGCGGGTCACGGCTATCTACAACGATCAAGGACAGCTGACGGACTTCACAGGCGTGTGGAAGGGGTACGACCCCTTCCTGACGCCCCCAGAGGCAGTGATCTGACCAGCGACGTTTCGATCGTGATCTGCGGAAACGAACCGAAGGTGCCATACGTCACACCCAACAATTCGCCAGACCGCGGGTGCATACACTATCAAGACACGGGCTGACGACCGTGACGCGGACGCTGTCCACCAGAGCCTGGAGAGCGATGGTGAGAAGTTCGGGCCGAAGCCAGACAGCATCACTCACGCACAGTGGTCAGCACTGCAGACGTTAACCTAAACCTAAGCCATCCGTCGGTATATGCGATGAAAGGGACGACTCAAGACGTACGGCATGACGGCAGAGGTGTTAGACGCAGTGGACAAGCTCGAATGTTCAACGTGTTGGGAGCTCAGTCGACCTACGACGGTACGTTCGGCAAACCTGAAGCCGTCGACGGAGTTCAACGAGAACGCGCTCCTGGACGAGGACGAGGTGGCAGACTCTCGGACGGCACCAGGCTGATGGTGATGGTCCATCGACAACGTCTCGTGCTTTAGGGTTATCATCCCGACGAGCGCGGTGCGATCTATCACTGGCGTAGAGGCGCCGAACTGCTTTACGCAGGGCTGGCTATCATGGGCTGGTCCACCCAATACACTCTACTTCGACGCGGCGAAGGGCCACATCACGAAGGTGTTTGCGGAGGTCGGCGACAGGCACAACATACTCATGCGACTGACTCTGGCGGAGGCTCCTCACCTCACGGGCAGAGTGGAGAGAGCCATCGACTTCAAGGACACTCTCCAGAAAGTGAACTGCGAGATCCAGATCACCAAGAAGGACGACCCAGCCATATGGACGGCCATTTGGGCCAACACCTTAAATAACCACATCAGGCGGAACGGCTTCACACCCTACCAATGCGTGCTCGGACGATCGCCCAACGTGGCCACGTCCCTCACCGAGACGGGCTCTCGGCACAGAGCGCAGCACTATTCGAGTCGGGACCCCGACGGGCAGAGCAGATACGTGCAGGTGCCAATCGATCATTTTCGAGCTGGACAGCGACGATGCTGTTCGACGAGCTGAACTGGGGGCGAGCTCGACCACCACAGAGGCATTCCTACCAGGACAACTGGCCTTCTACTGGCGCGAAGTGAAGCACATCAAGTCGAAACGACTGCAGGGCGAACATGGCTGGAGAGGACCGGTCGTCATCCTGGCCCAAGAAAGACATACCAGACTATATGTGTCGTACCGTGGAGTACCGGTGCTGATCACAACTGAGAAATTTCGACATGCGAGTCGGGCCGAGTCGGAGACTATCGAGAACGAAGATATGGTGAAGCAATTGGGTCAAAGGAAAAGATATTCGACTATGCAGCTTGTTTTTGTGGACGAACGGGGCCACCCCCCAATCAGGTTGGCGACGCAAGTGGCGCAGATGACGAGAACGTCGAGATTGGGAACAGCATGCCACTGCCGACGTCACCGCCGAGATCACTGGCTCCTCGACGGGAACGACAACTACCAGCACATGCGGTACACCCACAACCACAGTTCGGACCTCGAGAAGCGGACCCCATCAGCGAGATGCCCGAGGACAAGGCACATAACTCACATGTCCCACCAGCAGCACCTGAACTACCAGGTCCACCTGACGAAGCAGCTGGACCAGGGCCTACCACGGAAGCACCACCGACACACTCCGATGCACCAGGATAACCTGGGCAGCCAAGAGCGCGTTTTTTATGTTCGGCGATGACGGGCGTCATGGGGGGAGAAGGGGCGAGGGGGGAGTATGACGGAAGGCTCCATCCGGCCGTGTGGCTCCGGCACCGCAGCCGCGCCCGCGCGCGCAACACGACGAGCGACGAGCGACGAACGACGAGCGACAGTCGACGACGACGACGACGACGCGACCAGCATGTAGGTGGCGATATGCCCCACTGCGCCTGTGTACACCACAACGCTCGCGTGCAACACAGCGCGCATGTATACCATGGCGCCTGCGCACACCGCAACAACCGTGTGCAACGCAGCGCTTGTGTACACCGCAGTGCTTCCTTACACTACAGCGCCGGTGTACATGTGTACACCGCAGCTACAATGTGCAACACAACGCCTGTGTACACCACAATGCTTGCGTGCACCGCAACGCCTGTGCACGCCACAGCGCGTGTCGACACCACAGCACCCGCGTGCAACGCAGCGCTGGTGTACACCACGACGCCTCCGTGCACAGGACAGGTAGAAGGAGCACGTGCGTGAGGATCTGCTGCAGACAACAAGTCGCCACGCCAGGAAGGTGCTGATGATCGAATGCGACGTTCTTCTCTCCTCCCTGCTCCTCCACCTCCTGTGAACTCGTCGAAACACTCGAACTTTCCAATCCCCTCGAATCGAAGTCCGAATCTCTGCCAACTTCTCCTCGGACACCTTCCCCCACTATGCTCTGCACGCGGGGGGCGGTGATGGTAACCTATTCTGTCAGTCGAGAAGCCTCTCGAGCTCAACACGGCAATGGTCAAACGTGCCGACAGTCTCTGCTGTTTGCTATGTGATGACACTGGGCCTCCAGGGGCCTCGAGAGGGAAAAGCATCGAACCACATTCTGTCAGAACCCTCAGAACATACATTGTACGGAGTGCAATTCACTTTGACCTTCTTGAAGCTTCACACTGGTGAAAAAAAAGGGAATGCAAACTCGTATGAACTCTAACCTTGTTCACGCGAAAATCTGCACAACTGATAGCATATCATCACACAAATAAATCAAGCAAAGCAACTGCGCTCGAGAAAAACTGTGCCACACACCGTGTCGCAAGAGAACGTCCGCTGACATAAATAGCTCCATTGCGAGGAAGGGGGGACAATAAAAGAAACGATACTGGAACAGGATGCAAAGCATGATTTGCCGGGGCGCGTTCACTCACTGTGCGGCTTCTGCTGCACTGTATGCAGCTCGCGGGAAATCTCCCAGCCTCGTCGAAAACCGTTCGTCACATGCTTGCACTGTCTGCAGTGTCCATCCGGTATACCAGCACTCGTGTAGTGGACTGGGCCCTGGCAGCCGACGTCCCACTTGATGGCACTCAGCTTGATATGCCTCTCCTTCTGGGCCTTTGTCTGTTGCAACTCCTTCTCTGGCTTGGGCTCTGTTGTGTCTGGGACCTTCGTCTCCTTCTGCGAAACCTTGCTGATCACGTAGCACGTGAACGCTACGAGCACCAACGACATCATCATGCTGAAGGCTCCTTGCACCAACGTGCTCAGCGGCATCTTGATCACTATCCGCGGGCTCTTGGTCCACTCGAGCTCCACCAGGGCCGTCTCGACCTCACTGTCACAGATCTTCACCTCGCTGGCTCCACCAGGGCAGTCTCGACCTCACTGTCACAGATCTTCACCTCGCTGGCTGCGGCGGACCTCGACAGAGACGCCATGGTCGCCATCGCTGCTGTCGCACTCGTCTTCGATCTTGGCGTGGCAAACCTCTTGGCCTCCTCCTGTCGGTCCTTGGCCGTCTTCTTCTTCGAGACCTGGAATTTCTCAGAGAATCGAACTTCAGGCTGATCGCCCCCGTCCTGAGTCGACCGGCCAGTAGCTGTCTGGCTGCCAGCTTGGCGAAGCCGTCTGCGAACTGTCGCTCTGAGCAGGCTCAATGCCAGCCCGTAGCACTCGCCGTCATTCGTTCCTTTAGCACTGGCACCGCGATACTCGGCCGCTTGTCATCGAAGCTGTGCACGCGTGGCTTCGGGGCTGCGTCGCGATGGGGCCTTGGCGCCCACCGGGAGCGCACTCCTTCCCAGCGCAGACATCGCGCCGTTCAGCCTCGGGTTGCGAGTCGGGTCGAGCACCGGGCTGAAGTGTGCCCTCACATACTCGAGCGCGCTCAGGCCTCCGGCTGCAGCTTGGGCCCCACTCGCCAACGATGACCTGCTCACCCTCGGTAGCTCCCACGAGCGCCAGTCGACCACCGCGTGCCTGACGGTCTCGCCGACCAGCACACTCCTGTGCGCCACTAGGATGAGGTAGCCTCCTTGTGAGCTTCCAACACATCTAACTACCCGCGCTGCGTCCGTCATGCAAATGAACGTCACTTCGTCCGGGTCGTCGCATATCTTGGCGAACATCTGGCACGCGTCGCAATTCGCCTTGGCAAACCTCAGCGTCTTGTTGGCCCCCGCTCCATCCTTCACGGTAGAGCCCTCGTCGATCGCCCCGTGCCCCAGGCTGACGCTGCACTGTAGATGGGGCGCCGCCTCTGTAGATGGGGTGCCGCCTGGTTGCTGGGCCAAGACAAGCTTCCCATCAATCCTCGTAGCTGTCGACGCTCGCCCTCGGCGATTGGCAAGTTGTGGTCGCTCGCTCGGTTCTTGGCCAAGGTGATGGGCTGTAGCGACTTGAAGTCGGCTGCGCAACTCATACGGTGATCTCCGTTCGTCGTTTCGGTGAGCTGGTTGCCGCAGAAATCCATTGAGGCGTCGCCTGCGATGTTCAGGGTGGCAGCGCTCGTGTCTTCCCACGTCCTGAGATTGAACACTCTCTTGAGCTCTGTCACGCGCGCCGAGAAGCGCGCCTGGCCCTCCTGACTGCTGCCGCCTCCGAGCATATCGTCAACGCGTAGCCCGATGGCGCCGTCGAACACCTTAGTGTCGATTGCGTCCAGGCGGTAGCTCAGGAACAGGCAGGGGCCCAGCGGGTGAAACACGAACCCACGGGCAAGGTCGATAGCTTCCCCCCACGAAAGCCTCGGTGCGTCGCTCAGCCCGTGCACTCTTGAGTAGCTTCATCCTCTGGCCCGGCTGGTAGCCAAGCACCCTGCGCGCCTCCGCCAGCAAAAGCGCAGAAATCGCGCGATCTGAACGCTTGCCCTGCAGAAGCGCGGTGCTGACGTCCGCGGTGGACAGGGTCTAACCGTGAATGCGGCCGAGCATCGCGATGAAGGTTCTGCTCAGTCACAGTCTTGTCATGGTCGACGAGGATTCGGCCAGCTTCCCTGCAAGCGCGTCTGGGTCTCGGAACCCTTGGATAACGAGCCTGGCATTGGCCCTGTAGCTTCCGTCGGCGTTCCTCGACCAGTTCAATCGGAACCTCGCGCGCAGCACCTTGTTGGGGTCGACCCCATTCTTGTCTTGCTCCCAAGGCTGGTTGTCGAAGAAGCTCTGCAGCTCCGCGCGCCTTCGCCTCCGCAAACTTAGCCCTGTCCTCCGCGTTCATGTTCTTCTCGCTCAGCTCGCCAGCAAAGTTGCACTCCTCGCAGTCTAGGAAGAACGCCTGGCCCTCTGCGTTGTAGCTCCAGCCCTTGGGTAGCGCGTCCAGGTCCAGAAACCTTGCGCCCTCTTGGGTCTCCACTTTGGCGTAGGGCCCTGTCCGGTTGCCTCGCCGATCTCGATGCGCCGCGAACGTCCCCATTGGAGCCATCTCCGATGCATCGATGCTCCTCCGCATATCCTTGATCCTCGCCGCTGGGTCAACGATCACTGGCTGAGCCAGTACCGCCTGTGCTGCTGGAACCTCTGTTGCATCTGGTACTTGCTCTTGAGCTGGCTGTTGCTGTCACTCCATGTCATCGTCGTCTGGCATCGCCGCGTCGTCCGCCGTCGGTGGTGGGTCCTCGTTGCCTCGGAACCCTGGGCAGACACCTGCCTGGGCTGGCCGCCCATGGCCTGCTCCACCGTCGGTGCACCTCCAGCTGTAGCAGCTGGCTCGTCCTCCCCTATCGGCCCGTCTGCTGTCCTCGTCGGTGGGTCCGGGCAACTGGCTGATATCGAAGAACTGCACGATACCTCCGCGTCGAAGTCCTTGCAGAATGGCCTGCGCTGCCTGTAGGTTCGCTGGTCGTCTCGGCTCGCCGATCCGCTCCACACTGGGTATGATCTGGTCTTGGCTGCATCGCAGTAGGCTCCCGCCGCGCGTGGCCCAGCAGACCCTGGGCTGGCCGCCCTCCGCGCCCTCGCGTAGAGCCACTGTGGCCGGCCCTCTCCAGCGTGACTTTTGATGTCTGCCAGCTCCACGATCACGCAAGTAGTAGCACTCGTCGCCCACGCTCACTGCCTCATGGATGTCACGTCTCTTGCGCAGGA